AGCTCGTGAAGAACAGACTAGAGAAAATCAGGCTGGTTTTCGACCTGGACGTGGTTGTATAGACCAGATATTCACACTACGTCAGGTTCTAGAACATAGACACACGTTTAGACGCCCCACAATAGTAGTATTTCTTGACCTTAAGGCGGCATTCGACTCTGTTGATCGTAAGGTTCTATGGCAGTGTTTGTCACTGAAAGGAGTACCAAAGAAGTACATTAACTTTATTCAGGCTCTCTACTCGAACACAACTGGTAGAGTGAGAGCTTATGGCGAATTGTCATCAGAATTGATTACATCAAGTGGTGTTCGTCAGGGCTGTACACTCTCTCCATTCTTGTTCAACTTTGTGGTCGACGTACTTTTAGGGATAACACTCTCCTCATCTAAATTTCCAGGGGTTGGACTTCTACCAGGAGGTTCACTTGTTGACTTAGAATATGCTGATGACATAGTTTTATTTGGCGAAGACGCTGACAAAATGCAGAGTCTTCTGACCACTCTAAGCAACAATGCAAGCATGTTCGGCATGCTATTCTCCCCCTCGAAATGCAAAATGTTAAATCAGGATTGGATTGCATCGACACCCGAACTAATGATAGGGAATGAAGTAGTTGAGAGTGTCTATCGCTTCACTTATCTTGGGAGTCGCATCAGCTCTTGTGGTCTGGTATGTGACGAAATCTCAGCACGGATACAGAAGGCTCGACTAGCTTTTGCCAACTTGCGTCATTTATGGAGTAGGCGAGATATCCGTCTATCAACCAAAGGACGGGTTTACTGCGCAGCAGTTCGTTCCGTTCTACTTTATGGCAGTGAAACATGGCCGGTAAGAGTAGAGGATATTCGTAGGTTACTAGTATTTGATCATAGGTGCCTTCGAAATATTGCTCGTATATCCTGGGACCATCGAGTAAGTAACACAGTTGTTAGGAAACGGGTAATAGGTAAGGATGGCAAATCGATTGATGAAGTAATGAAACTTCATCAGTTGAGATGTCTGGGACACATGTTACGTATGCCCAATCACCGACTGCCTCGGCGTGCGATGTTTTATAATGTAGAAGTGATAAGGTGGAAAGAAAAATCAATTTTCGATTGATTTACTCATTATGAGTTTTGTTCAAGATTACTTCTGTTCTGATTCAATGTGATGATTACTCACTGTAGTAATTGTTTTATTTTCTCGTATGATATTTTATTCTGCATAGTATACTGCATGACCGCTATCAATAAGATGTGCCAATATAGAACTGCGAATAGATTTTTTCTGGCCCTTTATGTACCAAGCTATATAGGGCTTACTACCAGGCAACTTAACCAACGAATGAGTGAACATCTACCAACTTGGTAGATAAATCGAAATCATTTCCTGACGGAGTCCGTTCCCGTCTCCTATATATAGCTGAAGCCGTTGGAATTCGTACTAGTCAGATGAGATTACGTCCATTTCCCAAATCCTACCTAAGACCTCAGTTAATCTCACTGCTAATACTGAACCACCATCCTTAAAAATCTCAAGGGTGAACCTGTCAGGGCCTGCTGCTCTCAGTCGCTTCAGATTTCCTATGGCTTTTTCAACTTCGTAAAGAGTCGGAGGACTTGCCATTCAGGCTGACTGGAGATCGTGGGAAACCGAAGTGTGGCTGAAAGCCAGTTGAACTGATCCCCAAAGTGTCCTGCCCATCGATCCAATCTCCTGGATTGAGAATGAATATGTCCATCTTTCTCCCAGATTGTTTCGCTAACAGTCGGTTTCCTTAATGAGTCTGAACAATTGTCTGCTACTACCTATTGCCGCTGCTTTTTCCATCTCTCTTGCTTTCGCTACCCACCACTGTTCACGATCATTGCGTAGACTTCTTGTCAGCTTGCGCTTAAGCTGACTCCGCTCTTCATTATGTTCAGAGTCAGATGGAATGAGTTCTCGAGCATCTACCAGTGTAGTAGACACTGCTGAGATCCAGTGTTTCTCCCTAACATTGTGGTTTACCGTACTAGTAGATATCACTGCTGTTTCCACAGACTTTCGTATATCATTCCACGCTGCCTTGGGGTGGGCATCACATACATGGCTGCCTAACTGTTTTCCTAGTTGTTCCTGAAATATACTCTTAGCTTGACTATTATTAAGTAGGCCCCTAAGAGGTTTATTTGCAGCGTCTTTCCTACGCCCAGTAAGACGCAGACAGATACGCGCTCGTACTAGAGCATGATCTGAATCTAAGCATGTGCTCCAGAATGAGCGAGTCTTCTATCGAACCCCTCTATCGGTGGCTGATAGCGATGTGGTCTCTTTGGGTTTAACGTTGGTACGAATTAGGGGGTCATGCTTAAATAGATACAATAAGCTGTCCAAAGTTTCAGAGAACCGCGTCTAAGCTGATTCCCGGAATAACAAAGCTATCGTGTGACGATGGACTGGCTAAACTAAATCTGTTTCCCTTGTCATATAGAAGAACCAGAGGTGACTTTACCAGCCATTCTTATTGTCTTCCAAAACAGAGAATTTGCGAGGACACTGAAAAAGTTCATTAGCCCATAATAAATCACTTGTCAGCTGACTATCGACTTTCCCTTCAAATCATCAACAAATGGAACTCGCTACTTCAACTCGTGGTTGAAGCTCCATCTATCAAGGCTTTCAAAAGAAAGTAAGATCAACTGAGACCACCATTGCCAGGACTAACATAGGCTATCTAGTCTCCTGTCCTTTTCAAATTGAAACTAAATGCGATAGATAGATGTTAGTTCGTTAAGACTATAATTTATCGACAACCTTTCAGCGAACGTAAAGTGACTGGAAAAATGCACTTACTAGGTTCAAAAGTTAATATTGGGTGTAAGAGTTAAGGTTTTCATCATAAACTGAAACCAGCTATAATGCAAAAATGCGTGCCCCCAAATTCCCTGGTACGGCCGACAGTGGGGAAAATCCACGCACATATAGTCTCTGCCAAGGAAGTTCTACTCACTGCCTTCTCGTGGCGGGGGTGTTGTTTACGAAAAGCGAATGTCCCGCGCTTTAACCGGATTCCAAACTAATGGTGCACATGGGCCTCATTATCCTGTGGGAGCAAATGGTGTATGAACCAATTGTTGGTCACCGGCTTCCATGGGACTGCATCTCCTTACGATGCCCCGCTGCCTTGTGAATCAGACCTTCAGGTCGAAGGCTCGGGGAGTGTCCCCCTAAGAAAATCACCTGCTTCGGTTTGGGTACCCGGGCAGTATCACAGCCCTCACACATATCGAATGAGATTTGTGTGGCGCATATGTATTTGGAGCCTCTTTGTATCAATATCTATGTGTTGAAATAAATAAATCGAACCATGTAGATGAGTGAACTTTGCGCCAAAATAGATTGGTTCCTCCATAAATTGTGGTCTCACCTGTTCGTAATCTTAGGTCCTAGTAAATTCCTTAAGCTTATCGATCGCAAGTCTTAGCTTTTTTAAGCATGTTTTATTTAGAAAACGTTGAGGCAATTGGTGGCACAGCTCGATATGTCCAGATAAACACGAAAAACAGTATTTCTCTCCGAAGTGTTTCATAATACATTTTTACTAAGCTGACTTATTTACCTTTGTCACATAAATATGTATCACCTAGTCTTGTGTATAGTTTTGAGTATAAACATAAAATGCACTCGGACTCACCATAGCTTCTAGCCGTCATGGGTCACCTCTAAAATTTATTAGGATTTTTTTCTGTGCTTATTGTTAGCACTGAAACTATCAATAACCTACAGCAGATTAGACTGTTCACAATTTATGTTACCAGTGATGTTGAAATATGTTAATGTTTCGTTTGTCATTGCTTTAGCATGTGGACCTAAAAAACTCTTTAAGTTTCGCAATTTCAAAAATTATTTTCTGACATTGCAAGGCACTAGCCATTAGGATGTAGAAAGGTAAAATGGCTTAACCTATGAAGCTGGTTTCACCATCCAATAATGAGTGGTGTAGCAGTATCTAGTTGAAATCAATATTCTGCGACGAAAAAAAGCGATTAGGATTTACGGTGTTCTACTGACCAACCTAAATCCTCGGCATCTAAAACTTTCAGTAACAGGTTATCCAATTTTAACGTACATAAATAATCACAATAAATTTCATTAGAAATGCAAAGTAGCACTACAGTCTATATGCTTAAGACGTATAGGGTGGCTCCCAAGTAGCACAGCGTTAAAATAAAGTAGGTGCCAACAGATACATGTTTTCAGTCTAAATTTTGTTTACGAAAAGCAATCGTGTGTCATAGAACTAATAGTTAAATAACAATTTCAACGAAAACTTTCTAAGTGTCATCCAATAATACAAGTTCAAAAGATTCATTTACAATAAGTGGGTTGTCTTCTATTTGTTATTCAACCAGAAGTTTATTGTATATGGTTTGAGACAGGGAGTGATTTAGTCGGAGACGTTAGTGTTGAAATTATTTAGATTGCTGGACGAAGATTCAGTACCAATTATCAAGGTCGATAGCATTCCGAGGGTGAGAGTGTACTAAACTAACTTGGAAGCCCTGAAATTACTAACATTCTCACTCATCTTTTTACAGTAAAATCAAACACCTATCATTTCAAAGAACTAACTTTAACGATACTATTGATCGTCAGCAATATGCAAATCATATCAAAAAAATCTCACTAAGGTACCATACTACACTAGCGTTATAACTAATTTTGGAGTTATACAGGTTAGTGTTTTTGTACTAATCGCAAAATTGGAGAAGCATTATTGGATGAATATAGGGTGTTAGAAAATTTTATGCATTGAGTTCGCATATTGTTGTATTATTTTCCTCGGTGCTTTGTTTAATTGGAAAATCTTTTATAAACGTGGGTTTAATCTAAATACATCACACAGTTTATCATAACTTGAACTGATAACAACAAACGATAGCTTTCATGCCAACAGTCATTGCCTTATTTATACAACTTATAAGAATTGAATTTAAGTCTATTTTAATTTTGTTTACGTAGGTTTGTTCTCAAAATGAACTTACTACGAAACGTTAATGGAATGTGTAATTCATTTGGATCCATTGGGGTTTTTATTCCAGTTGCAACAAGAAATATGATGGGGCTTTTTAATGTTCAGTCTCGATTCTATAAAATGCACGACCATTTAGTTCGGAGATGCTCAGATTGTTATTTTGACCGACGTGAAGGCAGGCTTTATGTTGAGTGCAAAACACATCCACGTCATAAACAAGCTCAAAAAATGAGACCACCGCAAGTTCCATGGTTGTTTAAACGTCCAATATGGAAAACTGTGCGTTGGTAAAGTAGAAATTTACCATACACAATCAGCTGTAAACATTTATTATGACAAAAAATTTCCGTACTAAGTAAGCCTTTAGTGATCATAAAAATTTTTAACATGTAAATTATTATCGGTCATATTGCTCATGATGTCTTGAAATAAAATTATCTGTACAATTAAATACTGAAAAATACTAAGAAACAACAGAACTTGTCTAACTTGCTCCATTTTACTGGCTTGATGAGATACAGAAGTGGTCCATTACTCTAAGCTTATGGCTTTACGATTCCTTTTTATATTCTGTGTATACTTTCACTATTCAGCAATACTTAACATGTTATATTGTAGTGTAAGCACGCCAAATGAACGGGTTTAAGACAACATTGTTGAACAAACAAAATTAATATTGTTGGAATCCTTTAAAGGAATTACGGTAACGACACGAAGTACTCATCAAAATGGTAGACCGAAACGAATAGTAACTAAAAAGGGATGCTACATTGTCTGTATTAGAATGTATTAAGAATAATACAGAATAAGATTAAAGTCGAAAACAATGCATACTTGAGCTTTTTTCGTTATAAGTGTCCACTAATCAAGACTTAATAACGAAGGATTGGGGGACTGCAGTGAATGAGATTTGCATTGGTCTTTATAATTAAGCTATAGCTCACCTTTTTGGATAAACGTTCAACATAAATAGATGGGCTACGCTTACTTTTATTACGCCGTTTTCACTCAGGATTTCATTGTTAGCATGCCTTTTAAAAATGAGTCACGTGACAGTAACTTGCTAGTCTCCTAAATAGTGTGTTAATGAAGTTAAGAAAGATAACTAAATAACGAAGGGTGCTTTAGCGCCATTACATCGGATAAACAAGTTTTTATAGTTTATGATATAGTGAGCTAATCAAAAGTAGCCAAATGAGGTCTTCTTGCTCAAGTGGTCATTAGGGGGGGTTAGTTCGTAGAACTTTGTGTATCAGTAACAGATCTCGGATAGCGCCCATCATATCAGTTTACATCATGGACTCATCTTAGTTAGGCAATCATTGAAAAAAAAACTGGACAACGTTTTTGTTCTAGTACAGGAATCATCAGTAGTACGTACCCACGACCCCACAAAGGATCGAACACCAGTTTATTGATCTTCCCCATATTCATGTTTTGATTTCTGTGCCCGACTTTCTCCATTATATAGATTCTATCTGCAATGCTTCCTTATATACTGAACTAAAGTAAATAGATGTGTAGTGTTACATAATACAAGACATGGTATTGAAAATCTAAGAAATTACCAGAATGCAAATGCTGATATTATCAAGGCTTGAGCTCGGTATTTCGAACGAATGTATCTTATAAGCGTTTGTATCCACTGAGCAGTGTATCATATTAGAACAGAACCACTATATTATTTGTACAGCCTTATAAAAGTGCTCTTATGAACTTTCGTTAGTTGAAGATGAGTTGTACTTGCACGCCTTGCTTCATCAGTTTAAGGTCAACAGTGTTTGAAAGCAACGAATTCTATAATTGTTCATTAAGTCATAAAGACTAAAGGTAAATTTAGTATCAATAATTATTTACACTTTCATTTATGTACAAAACGAAAACTGATTTCACAGAGTTCGCAGAAAATTGTCGTAATCCTCTTCTGTGGTAAATCCGTATTTTTGACAAAACTCATCGTCGTCTTGTAAAACTATAGAACTGAGAGGTGTATATAGGGGTCTACAAAACAGTAATAACAATTTAATTAGTTTCGCATAATAATACTTCATTGGATTCATGCGACAAGTTGTAGTCAAAATTCTGCATTATAAGGGTTATGGGCCAAATTTACGCAACCTATGGAATGAACAGTAGATACTAATATAACGTCTAAGCTTTTCTGTAAATTCACTTATTCAACCTGACATCAGCTAACATAAAAAATCTATAACGTGAACAACCCAAGCAAAATAAAAATCTTCATGAGAACAAATCGCGCTAGAGGTAAAATGACGCTAATAATAATTAAGTACAGTAGTGGACAGCGTAAATAACAAAAGAAACTACTCAAGCGGTATGTTTTATTCTTACTACTTGCATGATTATTGAAAGTTTTTCTAATTAGATAACCGTTACTCTCCATGGGCTCAAAAGTATCCATGATTAGAGCAGTTAGTTGAAAAAGTTCATATAAACATTGCCACAAGAACAGAAACCTTATAAATACTCGAAGGATCTCTGTATTCAAATCGAATCGTGCTCCCAAGCTTTATGAAAGGAATTGTAATCAGGATGTCTCACTACGAAAAGTATTGAGGCAACTATACATGGAGCCTATATGACAACATAAACTGACTTATTGAGTCACCTCTTAGAAATATCAACTAGTTGAGAATTACAGGTTATAACAACGATTATTCTATCTATATCCTACTTTGAGCTAGATAAATAGTCTACGCAAAACAGTTATCTTTCAGTACTGAAAAATGTGTAATTTCCTGTGGGACCACCACATATTCGATTTCAGATCTGTCACTTTAGCTTGAAGCCACAAAATACCTAAATTGAAAATAGAACACTATACACTGTGATGCAGTGAAAACGTAATCAGCTATAAAATTTTTGTCTATATAACAAAAATATAGCTGAATCTTCTCTGAATTATGTTAATATTCCTAGCAAGGTAGAGGTGATACTGCAAAGGTCTCATTACGACGTCTACTAGTTGCTCGGGATTTTCATCCAAATACTGGTTCACGTTTTCTAATCAACACACAAGTGACTTCATTTATGATGATGGAAGAGCAGATGGTGTCCTTTACTGTGTTTTTCAGATTAAAACCGTCAACTATTGAATGCTCAGCTTTCTATAAGTGATTTTCCAATACCCCAAAAGTACATGACATCTACATCAAACTACTCTTCGATAAATTGGTTGGCTGTATTCATTGGCATTCCTATGCAACTAAACTTTGAATTTTGATGAGAAAGTTTAAGATTTATGCAATTCTTACAAAAGATTCAACTCACTTGGTTGGATCTGGCTGAAACAACTTTCGACGCACGAGAAATGTGCATCGTTGATGTAGTAAATGCGGTGCAGCAGATAAAGCTTCTGGCCATATTTGTATGAGATCAACTGGAAGATTAAGATGCCAGTGCATAATTTTGAAGTTGTCTGACAGATGTTGACGTTCTGTGTGAAATTGACGGTAAAAATAATATTGTATATTTATTAACTATGATTAAGAAAAGTCTGTTTTTAATATTATCTAATGCTGATAAAATGCTTCACTTTAGTCCGAGTTGTCATTATTTATGCATACCAGCATGTAGTGCCTAAAGGAAGCAAACATAACCTTGGCTTGTATTGCCTGTCAAAGCGTCATCGCGTCGCCGCTAATTTCCACATATAAATGTTCATTGCAATTTCAACTTTAATCAGTAGAAACCACCCAGACCTGAATATGACGATATTAGTCTGGCGTTATCACATCGGTGAGCGATTTGACATCCAATAAACACCTGATAACGAAATGTATACTAATTCTTTAGAATGAAAGACTTAAAATTGCTGGAAAGATTGACTATAGTCTTTTGGATGGTCTACTTTGTTGGTCGAAACCGTTCGACTTCAAAGCTCTTATAATTAACATCCTAAATGTATGTCGCCAAGATAGCTTTAGCATTTAAACGAAACAATAATCTCGCTTTGGAACTCTAGATTTTCACTAACTGATGGCATTCATCAAAATTTAGGTAATGTAGCTCTACAGAAATGTGATAGCTTAAAACTTATGTCTCGACAACCTTAATAATTTCAGTTCCTTGGTAGCATTGGTTAACCTACATAAGGATCTTCATTTTAACACTTCTAGTAGACTCAAAACTTAATATGGACTTTCATTTTAAATTGTTGCTTCAGCTGATTTATTAGCTTTTCTATTTTTATTTACTTTTGTTATATACATTCTTTGACAGTCAAAAATTTCTAATTCTTAGATATTCAGAATTGACTTCCAAACATGAAATTCATCTATCGAGAGTACACAGATAATAGCGTTGACACCCTAGAATGGATGTTCTCTCTGAATGTAAATGCTGTAGTCAAGTCCTCAGACCACCTGTTTCATCAGCTGTAATAGTTTTGTGGTTGATGAGACGGTCGCACGAATACATACGACGTACTTTGATTTTATAGAATGGCTAAAGTTGTGGCCCATGAAAGATTTCCATCCGTCTACCAAGGGGCGAGTATATTTCCCACCAATTTACTATATGCATCTATGAAATAAAACCTATGAAATCAAAAAACGTGTGTAGGGTACAGTGTTTGATCTTAGGCGTTATCGGATAGTTGCTCTCATATGGTGGAACTACCAAATGAATGATTCTGAAGGTAGGGGCACGGTCTGAGATAGAAAGGGGAAGTTGATTGATAAGGTGGCGAAGACCTTAATCGACTGAGGTGGTTGGGATGTGTTACTCACGCTTAACTATCATCCAGATTGACACATAACTAGCTGGAATGGGAGTCGGTTGGAAAAAACTACGGACGTGGAGTACAAGATATGATATAATCAGTCCATGGTTTGAGCAGGTTCTGTAGGTATGATCATAAACTACGGCTCGAGTTTATTAACATGATTAACAATTCAACGAATTTGCACCGTTGCAACCATTATTTATCTTCTACACTTTCAGATTAGAGTTATTTCATGTTTCAACCTTCGATTTAATTTGTTTCGTTTGGACTATGTTTAGAGCTTTTAGGTTTATATTGGGGCTAAAATTTTCTTCATCCTCTTTTGCTTTTATTAACTTTTTGCTTCGCTACGTTGAGAGGTGTAGCAACTCGTATGAATACATTTCCGTAGCATATCTTGGGCTATCTATGATTGATTGCTTGTCCCATGGGAATATTTTAATGAGGTAAACACAAATGATTAAGCATTTGTAACCGAGATAGTGCAAGTGTATTTTTTACTTAAAACAAATTGAGCCTTTATTCAATACATGTAAATCGTCAGCATCTGTTCACAATAATTATTTTTGACCTACTTATTAAAGCAAACCGAGACTTAAAGGATGAAGTGGTAAAAAATGGGTAAAAATTACCTGTTATCAATAACTTCGGGCTAGTAAGAATTAATTCATGTATAACTGACTGTGAAAATCCCATCATTTTTGATAGTACAACAAAAACATCCTGAAAAAGAATAATGGAAAACGTAATTTTTAAATATAAAGCTTACGACTAATCTAAAGAACGTAATATACAAACAGTAAATAGCTTTCAGTAATAAATCTGAAAGTTTCATAAATTGCAAATAACAATTGGTTAAATGGCTTGAAAGGATTAGGGGAAGTCGAGCCAGCAAGTTTTTGATTAACACGTAAGATAAACACCGTCCAACTATAATTAATTTGTCGTGGGGTTATTTATATTTTCAGTTTGCAAGCGGAGTGGCTTGTCGGCGTTTAAGTATTCAGGTCAACCAACAGGCCGCACATTCGATCCAACTGACCTTTTTCAGCCTTAGCACAACAACCGTAGTTTGAAGTCGGTTGGGTGTAGTTGTAATTAATTATGTGCCACACAATCCAAATTTATGAATAATTTATTCATCAAAAACTTCTAAATTTATAAATGGCTGGATATATCAAACACTATGTTTATTTTGCATTTGGAAGTAAGGCTTCAATTATTATTTAAATAGTTACAGCCAGTTACAAATGTGGTGTCCCAGAGTTAACGTTTTCAAAGGAATTTAACACAACTTTAACGACTGCTAGACTGTAAAAAAACCTTATTCCTATGTTGGTATTAGGGTTCAAAACAAACTTTGTTGCTAAAAACATTCTCCAATACATGAGAAGACTAACGTTTAAAACTTACCTTAATTTTTGGTAATGGGTGTATAATGATTTTGGGTTCCGTCGTGATTACTTTAACAATCTCTGAATCTAAAGCAATTTAGTGGAAATAATACGCAGTTAAATTACTTTCTAACTGTATGAGTGACTTTATTTGACCAAGATTTTTATCTATTTCGATGGGCGGTTTTTTGAGTATATTAGGAATTCGACATATCATTGTTACAACATCTGTAGACGAAACTTTCCGATCTGTAAAATAAGTTAATCGTGCACTGATTTCGCACAGTGGTAGCTAAAAAGTATGAACTTAAAATAAGTCGTACTTTAAGTAATTTTGGGAATGCCGTAATAATCCGAGCGATTTGTTTGGGTTGAAATCCAAAGTCTGAAAGTCGCCATAGTATAGGTTCAATATCATTATGAAAATCAAGCTTCATCAACATATTTGCAACACCTGGAACAGCTTCAACTTTGGATAAATTAACACCTAGTTTCACAAGTTGTGACAGGGTAAAACAACTACAGATATGTATTATTTATATATGTATATACCTTGGGATGTAGGCGGCAAGATTGGCAGAAGATAGAGGCACATGAACCAGTTCGTCCAACTCTAACTCCTTAAACCATTGGGATAGTATATCTATGCTCTCTTTTGGTGTTTGGCTAGGGTTTAAGTAGGCTTTTATCTGTTTTTGTGGCAATTTATTGTTACCCGGCAAAGATTGGATGGAGTTTTGGGTTTCCAGAACTTTACGAAGCAAATTATTGGACTTTCGAAGTGGAGTCTTCAAAGTATCACGATTGGTGTGATGAAGCGTTAACTCACATAATGGTTTTTCAAAATGTTTTTCCTGATTACACTTAGAAAACTGACGAGTTTTACGTACGCTAAAATCCTTAGTATCTGGTAGACCTTCGGTTAAGTTATTTGTGCTTTCCAGAGTGCGTGTTTCAGAAGACGGTGGTAATTTCAAAAATTTTTGGCTCAAAGTGTTTAAGAGCGATTTCGTGTACACCTCATCCACAGACAAGCTGTATTTACGGAATACGTGGACAATTGTATACTGCAGGTGCGCACCGTGAGAAGTAACGCTGAACATTTTAAACTATTTTCCTCAATTTTTGGTAAAAGAGCACTCGAAAAATGCCTCAGAATCCAATTTTGCAGGCTCGGGTCTCTTTCCAGCCAAACTGAAAACAAAGGGAAAGCATTCTTTATTGGAAAACAGAGGTGATAATTTTTAGGAATGTTACCAGCCAACTGTAACAATTACTCATGTGATTGTTTTGTATCACAATGTTTACCAAGTGAAGATAATAACCACGATACATTTACTTTTTAATATTGTATATGAAAGTGCTTTTTACTATGAAGCGGGAGAGCGCAATCAAAACTACACAACAACTTAACAACGGTGTAAAATATACTTTGCCATAGCAGATTTCATACACTTCCTTCAGTCCACACGATGATCTAACAAGATTCCTTATCGGTATTTTGACGAGTACATATAATTTCAAAAGAATATGTAAAACGGAGACAATTTGAAATAAAAATAGGCTCAATGTTCACCCCTTCGATTAGTGCAGCGACAACGTACATATCTTACGATAGTGTGCATCCATGTTTTGAAGATATAATTTTTATGAATAGCACAACATAAAATATATATGATCATTGTCAAGGCAGGCCATAAAAGACTGTACAAGTTCATATCTTGACAGAAGGTACTATGTGTACTAAAGTAGGATGCGGAGTAGAATACGTAAACAGACTATAAATTAAGGACGAACATATAAGACAAAGGATAGAGATTCTCGAGTATTAGGGTGGCTCATTCATCAATAACGCTAAATACCATTTCGACACCATAACTGATGTCAGTGTGTGATAACAAAAAGCCGGTGAGACTGTGATTTTTGGACGACATTTGAACGAGGCTAGAGTGACCCTGAGAATGTCCACCTACTAACTGGGACTAAATTGTCGTTATAAAGCAGCGTGAAGAATTTGATTTCTGATTCACAGTTGAGGGTTAGAAACTAGATCTAGGATTTGCATCACGAACTAAAACCAGCTAAAAAGCTGTTATACTAAATGGTTAAATTGATTTCCGGCGAAAATCCAAGACCTGATATTTTTTGTTTGGCTCGACCATAATTGATAGTCTCGAAAGCTTAATCCCAATTTCTATCTCTAATGTCCTATCGTGAACCCAGATCCTAATTCCTCATGCCAAATTTTAACACTAGTAAGCGGGTGGACGTTGTCAAGGCCAGTATTTCAATATCGTCCAGTAGATGACTAATATGGGTCAATACATTTATATTTAACAAAGAGACTAATCGACAAAAGCCAGAAATAACAAAACCTTAGGGATAGGACAGTCACAGAATCGAAACTAAGGCCAGATGGTTCAGTAGCCCAACAGAGACCAATTATGATTAGGCTGGACTTCCTATGGTCCCACTATGACCTTCAACGTATTAACGCGCGTTCACTTTCAAAATGTACTAACAAATTATAAATTCACGAGAAAGTTTAAGCTAGTTAAGTACGCAGAATACGGTATACAACTATAGCACAAGAGAGTATAGAACGACACGGTAGCAAAATCAGAAGGAAGTTGGAGAAATATTTTCTGAGTAAGAATCAAAATTTACAGAAAATCAGGTATTTATAGACACTGGTGTTTGTTGTAACACCATTGCAATTAAGCCAATCCGCAAGAATGCGGGTTATGCTATTGTAGAATGCCACGTTGATATTCTAGGAAGCTACACCACGTTGTAATTGTATGAAAATCCTTCAACTTATCACGGGTCTCTTGAAGCTCCGTCGTGTCTTTCAGAAGCCGTCCCAAATCCTCATCTGAAGAAGATTTCCACTTTTGATTTACTTGTACCGGGACAACTGACTTGCAGTGGCGCTTCATTTTTTCACTGTATTTCTTATCCAAGTCTTTTATTCAGTATTCTTGGGAGTATGTTTCGTTGATGTATCTGAGATCAATCCCAGTGGAAGATTCACCTGGTTATCTTGGATGTGCTTCATTCTTTTATGTTCGTGGATTTAGTTTGCGTATCTGAGGCACTTCCCAAAGTCTCCTCAAACTCTATGCAAAACTCTTCACAATCTTTGTACCGTTTTTCCTGGTTCGACTCTACGAACACTTTATTGCCAAAGTTAAAACTTTGGATATTAAGATTTGATCTGTACCCATCCACTATCTTGAGTGTGAACATGGTGTTGAAAGAAGTTCAAATAATTCCTACAAACATGGCTTCAGCAGAGAACGTCCCAACTGTCACAGTTGAGATCTGAGAAGTTCTGTAAGCCGTTAAAAATTTTAATTGTCATCTTCCGCCTCCAACGATGTTCGTTTAAAAGTGTCGACAGAACGTTTTACTTGTCTGTTTGATTGCGGATGATAGGGTGCAAAACGAATATGCGTCGTGGTCAAGATATTCACTTATTTATTCATGTACATTTTTGTACTAATCCGAATTCAGAGAATTCAGAGAATCCAGATTTCAGTGTTCCAACTGTCTTGTCTTCTCTCACTTGCGTGCTTGCCAACCAACCAGGTTCTAGAATAGTTCTCTTTACCCCATCTCGAACTCACGCGTACTAGGCTCAAGGTTAAGCCGCTCACCCTATCGCGTCAAGCTAATAATTTAGACTAGACAGATCAAGGTCAAGTCATAACAAGTATCAACGGGGTAGAAGCAATTCAAGGTCATAACAGTATTATTGCCTTATTTTTTTAATTTTTATACATTGTGATATATTTCCCAGGATATTTATATATTTTTCCCTCGCATTCTCGTACTTAATATTTCCCCTATGACCGAACAGACTCCCAAGGTATTAAAGATTAAAACCATGTCCTCACTCTCCTTCCAACTCATGCATTTCTGGCCCGAAATTATCGAAGCCTGGTTCTGTCACGCAGAAGCCGACTTCCACGAGGACGATGTGAACGAAACACGTGCACAATTCCTCGCAGTAGTCAAGGCAGTACCACGGAAATTCAACAGGTACGTAACACCTAGTAGGTTTACTAGTGATGTTTCCGAATCTTACGAAGTTTTGAAACGTTCGATTTTTAAACTAGGAGACCTAACCGATAGACAAAGTTTAGATCATCTCTTTAATAACGTAAAACTGCAGCACGGTTCTGCAAAGAATGAAAGAAGTGATAGGCCCAACAACTTTCGAAGGAGGTCTTTTCAAACAGCTTTTCTTATCTAAACATCCCCAAAAGGTGCAAGCGGTTCAGGTCTCGTCTCAGAACAACGCCTTAGACGAGCTGACTGCATCTGCCGATCGTATTTTAGCAATAACAAAATCGTCCACTACAGAGGTGTTTTCAGTCAAAGAAAAGCCTCACACGACTCAGAATGACATAACCGAGTTATGTCATACACTTACGCGTTATCCTAAATTTCGTAACGACCGTAAGTGATCACACACCCTACGTAGAAGCAATTCACGCAGGCGATCTGTCTCTAGACCACGAGAGACGGATAATCCCGAGTGATGCTCGTATCATAACCAGGATGAAAAATCTTCCAGTAATCGCAGAAGACCCTGCAATTTTCCTAACTCAAAATCGACCGACACGAAAAACAACTCGGGAAACTTCCAAGCCGGCACGCGTTAACGTCAACCGTAGCCGACGAACATAGCCGTTTGTTATACGTCACAGATGTGATAACGAGAGTCCGCTACTTCGTCGGTACTGGCACAGAAATTAGAGTTCTCCCAGCGAATTCTAACGACCGGCTTCACGAATCAATTTCAAATCTACAGGTGGCAAACGGAAAGCCTATCGCTACGTATGGCGAAACGTACGTTTATCTTAACGTGGCTTACGCAAACCCATTCACTGGATCTTCGTTGTTGCAGATGTTTACATACCTTGCACAACATCAAAATCTACTCATCGATACGCGTAAACGGAAGCTAGTAGACACTAATTTATCTGTTTGTGTAATTTCTTTTTCTGGTTGCAGATTATCCCCAGTCACAATTAAGCATACGATAGACCCATTTTATCAACGACTACTCGATAAGTATCCTGCTATTCATCAAACGCAACCGAAATTACCGTGTGTAACCAGCGACGTTACACATCCCATCACGACTACAGGACCACCTGTATTCTCTAAAGCACGACGACTAGCCCATGAAAAGCTAAGGTTAGCGAAAAACGAATTCGATCACATGATAGACTTGGGAATCATACGACCGTCAAACAGTCCTTATGCATCTCTGTTGCACATGGTCCCTAAAAAGGACAGCAACGATTGGCGTCCAACCGGCGACTATCAGCGAATGAATGCGAAAACCATTCTCGACCGTTACCCGTTGCCTCACATTCACGACTTGACAGCTACCTTGAAAGGTACAACTGTTTTTTCGAAAATCGACTTGGCTAAAGCGTATAACCAAATCCCTATGTCTACTGGAGACATTCCGAAAACCGCTATCATAACTCCCTTCGGACTCTACGAATTTTTGCAAATGCTTTTCGGTCTAAGAAACGCTGCACAAACATTCCAAAGATTCATAGATGACGTTTTTCGAGGTCTCAACTTAGTACATGCGTATGTTGATGACTGTTTGATCGCAAGTCCGGACAGAGAATCGCATCTGCATCATCTGGATCTTGTTTACGATCGACTACAAAAGCATGGGATTACTGTAAACATTCAGAAATGCTAAATCGGAACTGAATCATTAGACTTCCTAGGACACACTATAGATGCGCAATGCATTGCACTCCTTAGAACCAAAGTGGCAGTCACTCTGGATTACCCAGAATCGACCATCATCAAGCTATTACGAACGTTTAACGGCCTTGTAAGTTTCTATAGACGATTCGTACCTAAATGCGCGTTACTCATGAAACCTTTAACCGATCAACTTCGAGAAAATGAAAAATCCATCAAGCTAGACGATGCCGCACGAACAGCATTCTCTACAATTAAGGAACTCATCGCTAAAGCAACAATGCTTGCACATCAGGACACCCAAGCACCCATTAGTGTCGCAGTAGACGCATCCGACTCAGCAATCGGAGGAGTATTACAACAATGGGTTAACAACTCCTGGCAACAATTGGCATTCTTCTTTAGGCGGTTGCTAGACACCGAATCGAGGTACAGCACATTCGGTAGGGAACTCCTAGCTATGTATTGTGCTGTACGACATTTTCAACAATACATCGAAGGTCGTGAATTCACTCTTTTCACTGACCATAAACCACTCACTTTCTCTCTAAGCTCTACTTCAGACAAGTACTCTCCCCGTGAGTCTCGACAACTGGACTACATTTCGAAGTTTACTTCAGACATTCAACACATCTCTGGAGCAAACAATTTAATTGCAGACGCCTTATCTCGCATAACTTCCTCGAACAGTTTCCAAGGAATCGACCTTCTGAAACTCGCCGAGCTTCAAAAAGAAGACACTGTTCTTCAGCACGAGTTATCGTCTACTACTCCCATGCTATGCATCAAACAGATGGGAACAGGTAAGGAAACCTCACTTTGTGACACTTCTACAAGTAGGGATGGCTCAATCGTGCCGAAACATTATCGACGCAACGTCTTCAATACGTTGTACAAACTTTCTCATCCAGGTGTTCATACAACCATCAAACTTGTAGCAGAACGGTTTTGCTGGCCTGGCATGAATAAAGACGTGAGAGAGTCAGCACGCTTCTGTGTAAGCTGCCAAAAATCTAAGGTTATCAGTCACAACAAATGTCCCTTAGGTTCATTTAAAACTCCCGATGCTTGTTTCGACCATGTTCATCTGGAGTTGGTAGGGCCTTTACCAGATTCAAATGGATACTCTTACCTCTCAAACTGCGTAGACCGTTTCACTCGATGGCCAGAAGCAGTACCTATCAAGGACATCACTGCTGAAACAGTGGCCCACACTTTCGTCAAACGATGGGTAGCAAACTTCGGTTGCCCTTCAATCATCACTACAGCCCTCGGACGTCACTTCGAATCTGAACTTTTCCGTCGTCTGACCAAACTTTTAGGAACCACTCGCTTTCGAACGCCTTCTAATCACCCACAAGCAAACGGGTTGGTAGAACGTTTTCAACGGGCATGAGCGTGGATCTAACCTCCTACACGAACAGGCTTGCAAACTCAATGCGTTCAGTTAAACCTGTTTCCACTCGACCAAATCCACTGATGTTTTCGTTCAACCTGACTTACAATATAGTACACACGTTTTCGTTCGTCAAGACGCACATCGACGACCATTCGAATCAGCATACAAAGGACCTTTCAAAGGTCTTCAACGTGAACCTAGGTATTATAGAGTCGATAAAAACGGAACGAACGATAGCATCAGCATCGATCACTTAAAAGCATCGTATTTAGAAGGAAATCCTATTCATGTCGATTTCCCTTCGGTACAATCGCACAACACGACTCATACACTCATAATTCCTCAACCAACAACCAACACCAGCGA